GAAATCTATACCATGGGAAAAATTACCCACATCAAGGAGATCACAAATCCATTGATATATCAAAGTGTTTTTATTTCTTTCTTATTATTATTACAAGAACTAATAGGTGATCAAATTAAAAACAAAGAGAAACCAAAATATAAGGACATTACTTATCCCAAAAACCTCCCTGGTTCCTTCTCTATTAGTATTGCGGCTGAATCAGGAGTTGGCTGACATGGGTTTCCACCCAAGAGGCTTTCAGACCCTCCAATATACTGTGTTATAGCCAGCCTGAGAATTCCCAGAATAACCTTACCTTGAAGAGATTCTCATGGTATAGTGTTTAGTCTTCAGCAAAAACTTTTGTTTTCTGAGTGTATGTTTTAACCTGTACTTAGAGGAAAAGCAAGATTAAAGCAGAGATATGGCTCCAGGTTGGGGTGAATGGGATGATGATAACTGGCACAAGATAGAAGGCAAACCTGACCAATTCTTACTTTACTTCTGTTTTCTCTTCCAAGGAGAATGACCCTTTACCTGGGAATAACAGAACAAAATGACCGACAAATAGTTGGTACCCAAGGAAAGTAAGGAAATAGAGAACCTCTGGAGTCTTTGATGAATTGACCTGAATTCAAGGGACCTGGCCCAGATGAACTACAACCTCATCTTCTGGAGAGCTTACCCAGATGCAAAGAGACAAACTTAGGCTGGATGTGAGGAAAAATCTGACAATTAGAGTGATCCAAGAGTAAAATGGGCTGATGGGAGAGGGGTTGGAGTTCCCTGCCATTGGAGGTCGTCAGTCAGTGATTACTACTAGTTATGTGTAGTATAGGAGAGATATCTTTCAGGTATGGGTTGAAATAGGCAGTCACTAAAATTCCTTCAAAATCTCAGATTCAGTGATTCTGTGATTCAACTCTGTAGGTTCAGAAATTCTGTTACCAGTTTGTCTATGTGTGATCAGGTTCCAGGAAATTTTTTCATTCAAACAATTCATGAGACACTGACTTATAAACCAGAGTTGTAATGTATTGATTTTATCATGGGATAATATACTTTTCCATAAATTGAATTACTTGCATCTCTTTTCCAGGATAGTTTTTTCTTCCAGGTACCTGAGAATGGACTTACTGATCAGAAATTTGCTTCAATGAGTCTAGACTCAGAAGACAGGGAGTTGGATGGCCATGAGGAAAGTTGTATCTAGGCTAGGGCAGGCACTGACCAATTATCCCTACCTAACTCCAGAGAAAACCTTTCCAAAGACTAGAATACTTATGTCTGTCAGATACAGAATCTCTCTCTCTCTCTCTCTCTCTCTCTCTCTCTCTCTCTCTCTCTCTCTCTCTCTCTCTCTCTCTCTCTCTCTCTCTCCTCTCTCTCTCCTCCTTCCCTCTTTCTCCTTCCTCTCCTCTCTCTTTCTCCCTCCCTCTTCCCTCTGTCTCCCTCCTCTCTTCCTCCTTCTCCCCTCTCCCTCTCTTCCTTATCTTCCCCTTCTTCCCCCTTCTCACTCCCTCCTCTCTTCTTCTTTCTCTCATTCCCCCTTTCTCCCTCATCTCTCTCTCTCCTCCTTTCTCCTTCCTCTACTCTCTTGCCCTTTATCATCGCCCCCTCCCTCTTCTCTCCCTCTCCCTCCTCTCTCCCTCCTTCTCCCCTCTCCCTCCCTTTCTCATCTTCCCTTCCCCCTTCTCTCTCACTCCCTTCTCTCTCCTTCCCTCTCTCCTCTCTCTCCTTCCTTCTCATCTTATCTCTTTTCCTCCCTTCCCCTCTCTCCCCCTCCTTCCTCCTTCTTTCCCTCTTCTCTCACTCCCTCTCCCCTATCTCTCTCCTCCCTATCTTTTTCCGTTTCTTTCTCTCCCATGTTTTTCTCTCTCTCCCTCCCTCCTTCTCTCTTTTTCTTCCTCTATCCTCCCCTTTTTCTCCTCTTTGAACAGTGCTATAGTCACAATGACGGGTCACATAGTCTCCAATGTACTCCCTCTCCAATCCAAACTTCAACCACCACTGCTGATCCAATCTTCCTGGTGAACTGCTCTGATCATAGGATTCTTTGGTGTTGAGTATTAGGGATACAAGGATGAAAAAAAAAACCCAACACTGTAGTCTCTTGCTAAGGAGGCCTAGGCAAAGTAGAAACACAAGGGAGAGATCACTTTCATCTGGGCAGTTAGTGAATGGCTTCATGACACCAATGTATGCCCTTTACTGTTTAATAGGTTTTCATGCTGTTATCCATAGGGATTTCATGTTTATTGGTTGATGTAGCCTGTCTTGGATTATTACTTGTTAAAAACAGGTATTATGCCTTTGTAAATCTTTATGTAAGCTATATAACACTGTGCTAATTAGCTATTTAATCAATACAGTTTGATGACAGCAATGGTGACACTTCACTTAGAGCTAATTATAATACAGTTAATGCATCCTGTGAGATAAATTAGTAGGTGCCATTATAATTTATGAATAATAATCACTTGAAGTTCTTTAGTGCTTTACATACATTACATTATTTGATCTTCATAAAAGCCCTATGGGGAAGCTGAGGCTGAAAGAGGTGAATTGAATTTTTAGAAGTTCACATGACCAGGAAGAGGCTGAGATGCGATTTGAACTCAGATCTCTTGATTCTGAATCTAGTGTACTTTTACCGACACCACACTGGCTCTTAGAGGGAAACAGCGATTCCAGTGACTAAAATAAAAGTTAGCCAAATAGCATGCTTTGTGGGTGAGAATGATATTCTCAAATGTCAGAATCCTGGGTTCTATTTTCTGCCTTTTCCACTGACTACATGTCTGAATTTAGGTAACTGTTTCAGCTCTTTATGCGTAAAACCCAGACAGAGAGTACTGACCTACCTGACACAGTGTCAAGGGGACTTAATTAATATCTGTAAAAGGCTTTGAAATGCTTGGATGAAATGTACTATGTAAGTACCAAGTACTCTAATAGGGCTTTTTCTATCTGATTATCCTACAGTGAAACTAATCCTCCTAATCTCTGAATAATGGCTGAATTTGGAAATAAAGTTCCACACACAGGAAAAGCCTAGCATTCACCCACTAATTGTCATTTAGTGGGCCTAGAGGGAGGAAAATTAGCTATTTTTATTTTTCTGTCATTCTTGGAGCATAAACCAGAGGTGTCCCTTTGAAGATTTATCAACAAATGCAATTTAGCTAAAGAGATCATTGCCTGTGCCTGGCACACAAGGAGTAGCAGGGCTGAGTGTTGTGTGAAAATAATCCATGGGGAATCCTAAAGGGCTGATGGTAAGAACTGCAGCCCACTGGGGAGTGTGTCCTTTCACCTTGGACAGGGAGATGCTGATAGTGCTTAGGTGATGCAGCAGCAGAAACCAATGGAATGACCTAATGAGGGTTTCACCTAGGGCACAAGACAAATGAGCCATCTTTTACAGCACTGTTGTCTGGAAAAGAGATGAAGGTGAAAGACATACCAGCCACGGGGGTTGATTCCATTTGGCCTTCACCATCGACATGGGCAAAACTTCAGGAAGGCAAGTCAGCGGTTCAGCTCCAAACTGGAGGTCAAATACATTCAGATGCTATTAGTTGAAATGGGTACTTTGGCCTAACCTCACAGCTTCCTATAGTAAGGCTCAAGGAAAGGATGAAAACAGAACCATTGAAGACAATACTTGAATACTTCAAGGGTCCATGATTCCAACGGTGTGGGTTCTCTCTGCTGACACAGAGCCCAGATCTTCCATGCTTTGGTCCCCTTGTGAGTTACTGTGGTGGCCACACATGTGAATCACTTATTTATTATATAAATAATTGTCATAACAATAATGCACATAAACAACAAGCCAACCCTCTGGAGATGATTGGGACTTTAGCCAGGGTGGTTCTCCAGCAGCAGATACAGAGTTCATCACCTAGCCCATACTCAAAGACTTTCCACTGTCTGTGCTTCTGGCACAGGGTCACCACCAGGCGCCAATGATGCAGTACAGGAGGAGAATTCTAACTGAGAAAAAATGAGAAACAAGAGCAAAGTAGAACATTTCATGGTTCACCACCGCCCCTCCTTCCCAATAACATGTCAACTTTGGAAAGTTATCAAGATCAGTGGGGCAAGAAGGATAAACTACTCCATGTGGTGTCTCACAATAAATAATGGCTATCATCACACACCAGATATTATGTCTCTGTTTAAACTATCATCAGTCCATAACGAGGATAGTTAATGGTGGGTGGATTAGGAGAAAGAAGTATCTACATGTGAAAATTAAAATTTCTTAGTGAAAGTGGTTAAAATGGAAAATGTTATAAATGAAGATGGTACAATCTCCTTTTCCCTGGAAGTACTTAATACGAAAACAGATTTTTATCTGCATAGAACTGGCTGCATTTTTTATCTGAAGGTGAAAGGTAAACTAGATGATGACTCTTCATGGCCCTCTCTCATCCTGCCAGTCTTTCAATGAAGATGACCACATTTCCTCATCTTAGATTCTATTCTAAAGTCATCATTTGGGCAAAGTTCCCACTAAGAATGATTTAATTCTAGGAGTTTTATCTATGCTTTCTAATCATTTTCCCTTATGATCCTTCCTGCTAAATGAATAGGAGTTGCTTAAATATCTTTTGAATTGCTATACCAATATATAAGTGCTATCACATACATTAATTGTACAAATGCTGGAAAATAAAGAAGGCCCATATGTCTTTGAAGAGAATAAATGTACATATGAGTGACATGCACTCATTTAAGGAAAAACATTCTGATAAATTCCAGAGTTATTATGTCCATGATTATTTTAGAAGGAAATTGAATTAATTCTTAACAAAACATATTTTACTGAGATGCTCTATAAGTAAATTTGAAAAAAGAATAAATCTTGTAAAAAGACAGATGGTAGTAATAATCTCTTAGACTTGAAATTGCATTACAGAAGACCTGAACGCTGCAACTATGTTAAAAATAAATGATACTCATTTTATTTCACAACAAAAAAAAATGGGCCTTCTCAATAATTTATTATTAAAATTCTGGAAACAAATGTAGAAATATTTGATCTGCAGAGTAATTTTACATCCTCTCTCTGGTTTGCAGAAAGTTGAATATTCCAAAGTGTATGTGTTGGCTTGGCAGGGATTGGCAGAAGCGAGCAGAGCAGGTAGAGGAAGGTACAAGGAAATATATCAGTACATATGTTCATCAAGGGCAGAGATTTTATTTTATATGATTTTTTTTCTGCATCCCTCACAACACCTAGCACAGTATTTCATAAACAAAGGTAATTTAAGGAATATTTGTTTTTGAGTGGAAAGGATCTCATTATACAGATTTCACTTATTTTCTCCATTTTAGGTAAAAGAACATCCAACTTTGCTACATGAAACAATTTCAATCACCCAGTTACTTGTATTATATACTTGTATTATGTGTGTGTGTGTGTGTGTGTGTGTGTGTGTGTGTATACATACTATATATACACAATCCAAGAAAGTATCTGTTACAATAAATAAATCATGAAACTAGGAAGTGCCTGATGGTCGGCGAGAACTCCTATAGACCCCTCTCCTTGGCTTCTTCCCTGTGGCACTAGGGGAGAAGTTGGGACCATGGTAGCTCAAAAGTCAAATGCTGATTACACTGTTGGTGACCTATAGGCCTAGAAGTAATCAGCTAGACCTAGATGCTTAGGATGGATTATCATCCAGATCATCAGTGGCCTTCTAATAACCACATCAATGACTTTTTGCTAGTCCGCATATCCTTTGACCTCTACGCAACACTTGATACTGATGACTGACTTTCTTCTTGAAACTCTTAACTCAACTTTTGTGATGCTCTTCACTCCCTTCTAGTTCTCCTATGATTCTAGCTCTCTCATTTTTGTTTCTCCTTCTCTCAGAGTTCTCCAAATGAGGGAATTATCCAAGATATTTTCATCCTTATTCCCTTCTCTCACCATATCTTCACCCCATGTGTTCTCATTAGTTCATTTCCATAATTTCAACTATTGCCTCTAAGCAGATGACCTATCTAGATTGGATTTATAATCCAAACTTCTCTGCCTAGTCCCAAATGTTGAATTTTCTGTTATCTTGCTGAACTTCACGTGGACAGTCCACAAACATCTCAAACTCAAAAATGTCTAAAACCAACTTTATCACCTTTCATGAATCCAAATATCTTTCCCCTGTTTTTTATCCCTGTTATTACTCTATACCATCCTTCCAATCACTAAGGCTTAAAACCTCATGGCAATCTTTTACTTGTCCATTTCTCTTTTTTCACCCTTCCTTTCCCCAGCTGAATCAGCCATCAAGATCTGTTAGAAGATTTTTCATTTTCAGAATCTTGATCTGTCCCTTCCTTTCCACTCCTACTTCTCATCTGGACCAATGAAATAGACTCCTCCAACATCTTTCCCCTCCAACCCATCTTGTATAAAGTACTAGATTAATCTCCCCAAAGGATTGCTCTGATCACCCCACTCCCCTATTCAAAAATCTTGAGTGGTTCCCCATTAATTCCAGACTACCTTTTTAGTGTTTTCTCTTGCTAGTGCCCTACATATAAAATGAATTGAAGGCACCAAACGGTAGTATTTGATAGATGAAAAGGACTTTAGAAGATTTCTAGTCCAACTCATTACTGAAAAAAATAATCTACAATATCAAAACTTGGCTAGAAGACCACAAATGAGAAGGAATCCTCTACCTCCTTATGAAGCTAGTCCCATTTTGTGAAAGCTCTTGTTATCGGGAGGTTTTTTTTTCCTTTCTATACATCAAACCTTAATCTTGTCCTCTGCAATTTCTACTCCTTACTCCTACTTTTGACCTCTGAGGTCAGGCAGAACCAATTTAGTGTTTCTTTCTCGTGACAACCCTTCAAACACTTGGAAATAGCTATCATTTCCCTTACAAATTTTCTCTTCTTAAAGCTAAACATCCACAGTTCCTTAAATGGACCCTCATATGGCACAACTCTGCTCATCACCTTCCTCTGGATACTTTCTAACTTTTTAATGTCCTTCCTAAAATGAACCAAACTAAACAAAATTCTACAGATGTGGACTAGAGAGAGTCAGGAATACCAAAGTTTTATGAATCGACAAAGGAGTTAGCCTTGTATTTTATCTCCCCCTGATCTCAACTCAGAGATTGACCTGATTACAATCCAGGCATGAGAGTGTAAGTCTGTTTCCTGCCTAGTAGCAAATCTTTTCCGGGCCAGAGGCTTCCCAAAGGCTAAATACACTTTAGCCTTTAACCTGGAGTTTCTTCAGGTCCATTGTTAGATAAGCTGTAATGGATCAATCAGCATTTAGTAAGCCCTTGCTATGTGCCATGTAATACCTGGCACTGAGGACACAAACATAAAAGATGAAACAACTCCTTTTTATGACTTCTTCTCCTCTCATTTCTCCCTCCCTCTCCCTTCCCTCTCCTCTGTCTCTGCCTCTTTCTCTTCTCTCCCTCCCTTCTTCATCTTGAAGTAATGTGACTCATGAGGCTATATTTTGTAACTTTTAGGAGACTGTTACTCCAATTGGAAAGAAACCTACAAGTACATCTCAAAAGTTTGTTAAAGTTTCAAGATACTGATAAATTTATGTTTCATGCATAACACCAGTCTGTGGGGTATGTCCATCTGTATAACTACTAAACAGATGGGGTTAGGTAAGCTCAACTATATTAACCAGTAATAGGGCTTAAATCAATCCTAAATAAACAGATAATAAATGATTTTTAATAAATTTTAGACCTTTAATAAATGTTTTGGAAAGTATTTTTGACCACACAGGCTCATATGGGGACTGGGCAGGAGGTAGGGTAAGATGGAAAAAGGGCTCAATTTGTACTCAAAGGACCTGGTTTCAAAACCCTGACTCTGGCACTTACAACCCATGCAACCTTGAGCAAGCTTCTTAACCTCTTTGCACCTCTGTATCCTCATCTGTACAAAAAACAGTTGTTAGACTAAATGACCTCTAAAGTCCCTTCTATCCCTAAATCTATGGTCCTATGAAAAGATTTCTGAAGCTTTCCCATCATTTCAAAACTGGCCGCCGGCCGAGTTTTCCACCAGCACTCCCAACAGGGCTGGACCTCTTGGGAGGGAAAACCAAGAGTCTGAAGTGCTTCCTTTTCACATTTTTTCATTATCAAAATTCTCACTTTGGGGCAGATTTCTTGTGCAAATTTGCATTACTTTAAGTAAGAGGGGAAAAGCAAAATACCAAAGAAGAGGCAGATGTTTAAGGGAATGTAAGCATTTGTCCAAGTACAAAAAACGGGGTACAAGTCTCTTCACTATCAGCTTTCCTCGTACAGTGTGTGGTCTCTGACGGTGAGTAAACGGTCCGCATATCTCCAGCACACGCAAGGGTTTGAGGAGAGGAGCTGTGTCAGCCTGGGTTGTTGTTACCCTTCTGCTAATGAAGGACTCCTCCATCCCAGTCTGCAGCTTCTGGAAGGGTAAGAGAAGGGTGGGGGTGTGTTTTAATGAGCGTCGCTTTAGCAAATCTTTGCACTTCAAAGTCTGTTACTCTTCTAGCCTTTGCAGAAATAAGGTAAGTAAGCAGATCAGCTGCACCCTCAAACTTCAAGTGTCTCATGTCCCTTAGCAGCACAAAAAGAGGCCTTTCTGAAGGTGATTTCTGACATCCGTGGCATCAGATCTTTGAAGTATACTCAATCCAGAATCAATTCAGGAACTACAGATACTTGTTATTAGCTTGTGTTGATTCACTTCCCAGAGAAGGATTTAATTAATGTAATACATATTGGTCAATTCTTTGCTTTTAAACTTTACGTTTGGCCCACTCACCGATCAATAGATATTTTAATCTTCTTCACATTTTAGACCTGGTTTTAAGACTCACAGAACAGAGGCCCAGATTTCACAATCATTAATTGCTATTATCAGCCCTTTCATTTTCTGAACATCAGCAGTTTCTAAAAATTCTGCTTTTATTCGTGTGTTTGAATTATCCCTTCTTGTTCACCAGTCACTTGCACAGCGTCTTTCAAACAAGCACAAGGTTTACATTAAGCCAATAATGCGAAGGTGAAAAACTCAGAAAAAGAACTCCCTGAAATTCTCCATAGACTAAAATTTCACTTTCCAAAAACTGAGCAAGAAACAGCATGCATACACCATGCAAGTGGACCATGAATGAGGGAGAAATGATGTACATTTCCAAGGACTAAGGCTGAAGTAAAGGTTTCATATAACTTCTTCCTTTTGCATCAAGGCATTAATTGTCTGGATAGATTGAGTCACCTGCAAAGTGGCCAATTACTAGACATATCAGTTTAGTATCGTGCTTTAGTATCTTTCATTTTTGTTTTGGATTTAAGTGAGGACCAAGTCTAGGGCCTGGCGCAAGGAAGATGTGAGTTTAAATCCAGCCTTAAACACTTCCAAGCAGTGTGGCCCTGAGCACTTAACTTCTGCCTGCCTCAGTTTCCTCAACTTTAAAATGGGCATACCAATAGCACTTACTTCGTTGGGTTGTCAGGAGGATTAAATGTGATCATATTTGTAAATCATTTAGGTCAATGCCTGGCACACAGTCAGTACTTAATACATACTGATTCCCTCCCTTTTCCTCACCTAGTCAGAGCATGGTGCTAATTAGGCTGCACACATTACGGCTGGATATCTGTTTAACAGTATCCCAACAGAGCATCCCTCTGTCATATGTGGGGAAATCTCACAATCAGATACCTCACAAATATGTTCCATTTTTCACAAGGGAGGATAAAATAAAAGTAAAAAACATGGGGAGAACAACAGAAATCTATCAACTCCAGGAGGAAGGTAACTAAAGGCATTCACACTATTATTGGGTCTGTGGCATTCTCATGAACAAAAGATTCACAAATGTAGGAAAATCACTTCACTTTCAGAAAGTTCTAGAAGGCAATGGCCTCTCATCTACTTGCTTTTTCTTTCTTTCTTTTTTTGGTCTGGATCTGTGATTTCATTGATTTAGGGTACTCCTGGCATGGAAACTACCTTCACTGATTCCGACTGGCAACTTGTCTTTAAGTTGTGGTTGTTCAGTCATGTCTGACTCCATGACCCCATTCGGAGTTTTCTTGGCAAAGATACTGGAGTGGTTTGCCATTTCCTTCACCAGTTCATTTTGTTGTTGCTATTGTTGGGTCATTTTTTAGTCATGTCCAACTCTTCATGACCCCATTTATGTTTTTCTTGGCAAAGATATGAGGGGTCTGACATTCCCTTCTCCAATTCATTTTACAAATGATGATACTGAGGCAAACAGGGTTGAGTGACTTGCCCATCTAGCAAATATCTAAGGCCAGATCTGAACTCACAAAGATGAGTCTTCCTGACTCTAGGCCTAGAACTCTATCCACTTGGCCACCTAGCTGCCCTCTTTAAGTCATAGTCTTAGATAATTGCCTAGGGGCATTGAAAACGGAAGTGACTTGCCTAAGGTCACACGCCCGGTATTTGGAGGAAGCCAGACTTGAACACAGGTCTTCCTAATACCAGGGTTTCCTGACTCTATCTAATGTGCTACACTGCTTCTCTACCTCCCTATACACCCTCTTACCTTAAAGCAGTATGTACAAAGAATAAAAAGGCTGAGAAAACGACCTATAATTAGAGTGAATTCTTTTGCAAGAAGTGGGTTGTTCTAGAATAGGAGTTTTGCTCAATTTCCCACAGTTCACAACTTAATAAAGAAAAAGAGCTCACACTTAGGTCCATCAATTTCACTTCTCCAAAAACTGAGTGTTGTCTCAGTCTTATTTTTATAAATGCTTATGTTGCTTATTCAGTATTAAGAGAACCTTAGGACGATCAAATACAGAGGCTCTGTCACTGTAGTCAAACAGACAAAGGGTCATGGCCTTAGTCATATATTTTAAGCAACTAACTCTTTAGTTTAGAACTAATTTTAGTTTTTAAAAGCTACGTCCCAACTTGCTATTTAGTCCCGTCCCATTTTTGTTTGCTACCACACTGGAGATATAAAGTAAGAGCTAAAAGGCTAATATGGAAGTAACTAGGTGGCACAGTAGGTAGAATGCTCCATCTATAGACAGGACGAGCTGAATTCAAACCCAGCCTCTGATACTTCCTAACTTTGTGACCCTGAGCAAGTCATTTAACCTCTTCATCTGCCTTCATTTCCTCATCTGTAAAATAGAGGGAGGGGGATAATAATGGCACTTCCCTCCCAGGGTGGTTGAGTGGATCAGATGAGATAATGTCTGTAACACACGGCTTTGCAAACTTTGAAGCATGACGTAAATGCCAGCTAGCTAATTTTCCTAAACTTCTAGGTTCCTACATAGGCTCGCCATATAAAATATCCGATCTGTTCTTTTAGTTTCTCTTTTCCTTTTGAAGAGAAGGAGGAAAATTAGAAAAAGAAGGAAAGCAGGAACATAAAGGAAAGCAAAGAAGTGTTAGGCAATGCAAAGGTGTAAAAATAACCCAAGTGGGAATTAAAGAATATTAATAAGGTTAGACTAAACACTACTTATCTTATTTAATAACAAAAAAAGAATTTTGCAAGCATGAACAAAAGTGATAGTTATTAACTTTCCTTCTCCTAGGCAATCAACAGATGCTTTTCAATGCACAAATTACTGTAGTTCTGTGCACAGTTTTAGTTTGGGCAATAGCTCAGGGGTAGCCGTAAAAAAATATTAAGCACTTGATAACACCTCATAAGGGGACAAGTGCCTGCAGTGCTGCTCTGGGGCCATATGTGTCTCTAAAGTTTATCCTAAGCACCCATTAGTCACTTTGCCTGAAACTCATGTCTGCTCTTCCAGACTTGTTTCATAGTGGGGGAAAAGTCCCAAAAAAGCCCAAGATAAAAAACAAAACCAGAAACAACCCCTAAACTCCAAGAAATGATAGCAAACTGTTGGAAGCACCATATAAAAACTGCTAAAACTCTGCATCTTAGCTAGAGAATGTTTTCCAATGGTGCTGGTGTAAACCATAATTTCCTGGCCAAAGATAAGATATATTTCACTAAGAAAAATTGAGGTATAAGGAAAAGTAAGGAAATATGCTACAAATCCAATTACTACTGACTACGGTGTTACCTGTTACCTTATATTGAACTACAAAGTTATAGTTTAGTTCTCATTACTTATCTATCACCATAAACGTAAAGCAAAATGTTGTAGCGGAAAGAAAACAACACTGGACTTAGAACCAGGATACTTTGGCTCAGGCGCTTGATAGCTGTGTGTAAATGGACAGCCATATAACATCTAAGAGTCACAGTTTTCTCATCTGTAAAATGGGATTAATAACACACACACTACCTACTTCATAGGGTTGTTGTGAGGAAGCAAAATAACATACATGCAGACCTCTGTAAGAGGAGTACTATTTCAAGGAGAATCTGATGGAATATAAAAGTTTTGGTTGCATGAGTTCATGAAATTAGCTCCAAATACAATATGAAATTTATGAGCAGTTCTTATATGCTCTGACAGAAGTATATGCTTTTTTAGATATTAAAAGAATTGAACTCTTTTTTGTTGAGCATGAAAAAGAGGAACTTCTCTCTTTCAAATTATTCAACTTTATAGTACAGTTTTTTTTTCTGGAGAACAACTTCAGATACTTTTCAAATAACCCCAAACATTTAATCTGTACCCCTTGGAAGTCACGCTGTGAGCATGTATACGAAAAGGAGAGAAAGGGGGTAGGGGTCGGGTGGGGAATTGGATAGAAGAAAAAGTGAGAGAGCTGTTGGTGAAATACTAATACTCTCCCTTTTCCCGGGTCTACTTTAAAACAAAATATAGATCTCTCTGTCACTCATAAACCTTTCTGTCACCCAGTTTGGTCAGGACTTTCTCCATAAGAATTCAAATGGCACATATAAAAGACTGCTTAAACTGCACAGATATTTATTTTGGAAATAAGCATTCTTTATCCACTCAGAGCAAACCAAGTTCTCTAATACGCTCATGAAAAAACGCCAATGTTCAATGGCGCTTTTCATTTAAAACATGGTGCTTTGGAATGGATCACACAAAAACTGCATGCAGGTGATAGGCATTCAACATTTACAAAGAGAAACTGAGACTTGAGTAGTGAACTGGCAGGTCGAAGACACAAAGTGACTCTGCGTATCTATGCACAGTCAATGAGCTGGCCAGCAGCATGATGCCGATCTCATCATGTTTGTCTTTGTGAGCAGTACTGATCACGACAGTAGAACTGCCTGTGCTTTGAAATGGCATCACTTGTTGTCAGTTCACCGACATCAACAAATTGGCCAAACTGCAGGGGATCTGTTCAATCTGCATGCAGAGAGGCTGCCAGGGAGTCCAGGGCTGGCCTGCGAATGAGCCTGCAGTCCTCTGGCTCACAGTGAAGTGGTCTCATGGCTAAATCATCCTGTCTCTTGAAATTTCATACAATCCTTATTTGTGTCATTATTAATTTGCCATTAG